GGGGGTGAGGGGCTTCTCCTCCTCCGGCTGCAGAGAGAAAGAGATAGCTCAGAGATCTTCAACACGAGATTCGTTTCTGTTCTTCTTTCACTACACAAATGATCTTGTGCATGCACTTCAACATGAGACTCTATTAGAACTACTGATGGAAAAAACCCAAAACCACCTCTTTGTTGTAATGCAGTGACGTGACTGCTAGATCCAACCCCAGGGAATGCGCAGCTGTGTCCAGCAGCACAGAGCTGCCCTCCGCAGCAGTCTGAGGTTACATCAGATTACACACTGTACTCTTGAAACACCTTGTATCTACAGCTCTCAAATCCAAACTTACTCCTTGAAATAGAGGAGAAAAACCCAAAAAACAACAGAGTTGTTGCTAAACTGCAGCTATCTGGATTATTCATAAAACAAGCCATTTTCTGCTCTGCAAGGTTTACAACAGACTTCTGGGAGAGGAAAGTTTCATCAAATACACTTTCCTGGAGTTCTAAAGGAAAGAAGTATTGGTATTTTCTAAAGTAAAACATTTCTTCTTCTAAAAAGCAATTAAGACAAAATGACTGGATAAAGCAAAAAATGAGAGTAATGAAAAAGCAAAGCAGCTCATTATATGAACTAAGATTTGATTTCAGGTGCAGTAAGTGAATTCAGTATGTTGCAGAACAAATTAAGATCTTTGCATTCCAGTGCTTTACTTAGAATTGTTTGACAAGATCCATAAATAGAATGGTTTACATCTGTAGTAGTCATCCTTAATCTCATACATCATTCATGCTGTGACTATATTCTAGCTAGGTCTTCATTAGATTGCTCACAAGGGCCATTATATCAAATTAATAAACTCATCAAGCACCCAGCTTCCTGCACCTCCCTGTGTTCTGTGAGCAAACAATTTCACAAATAAAAGTGTTAACAATTCTGTCTATACAAGAGAAAATAAAGTAGGTGTTCACTACTAGTAGTTCCAAATGTGTAATGAATTGAGGAATGAGACTTTTGAGAAGTCCAATGATCTGTAACCCAGATCATCAAGATCTTAATTATTTGTTGCAAATGTACAGGACAGCATTAGCCAGAACTCCCGTGGCAGCAAGAACACAAGGTGATGCTCACCACCCACCTTACAACCCTGTGCAAATGGAGTAAGAAACCTTCTGAAGAATACAAGCACTCAGCTGTTCTCAGGCATCAGTAGATGCTAATAACATTAGTGTTATTAGCTGTTACAGCTTATGTGAATTAACAAGTGAGCAATGAAGGAGACAGAGCAGGTGTTCCTCAACATGTTAAGGAATCGCCCTGAATCTCCCTCACCTTACTACTATGAGTGTGAAAGTCCAGAAGGACAAAGGATGACAAGTACTTATCTATGACAAAATAAATGAGAGCTTATCTAAATGATATTCTGTATGCAAATCTTATTTAACAGATTCATTTCTAACCGACCTTTTCATCACTGGTGATTGCCACCTCTTTTCCATCTGCATCCTGATAGCAGTGGAGGAAAAACAAAACAGAACAAATCTATCTGCCACGTATTTGAGGCAAGAATGAACACATTCAAATGAAGTTCACAGTAATTCTTACCAAAGGAGCGTAACAAAAACGCAACCTTGAAACAAGGTTTGGCACACTGGACACAACTTAATTCTGCTGTGGATTTTGTTGACAGTTGCATAGCAGAAACAGCAGCATTAAGTAAACAGTTATTAAAAAGGACCTTGGTTATGGCTCAACTTAAGAGGGAATTACCGAGGCGAGGATTCCTTCTGTCGCTTGCGTGGAGACGGCGATGGACTGCGGGAATGGGAATGGCGTCGGCGTCTACCAACCTCCCCGTTCTTCACGTTGGATCTTTTAGGCCTTTCCTCTTCAGACGAAGATGAAGAACCAGAATCTATAAATGTAGAAGAATCACTCTCTGGAAAACGATTCTCACAACGCTATTAACACAGTTGCTGATAGGGTTATACTGCAGTTTAAACTACTAACCTCCTCTCCCACAAGGTAAGAAATCTCTATTTAAAAGCAGTCCAACTAAAAATGTTGTTTCAAGTGATAAATATATCCATCAGAGCTGAGGAAAAGTATCTGCAGCAACCTAACTGTCCTCATAAAATTTTACTAGCCAGGTAATTTAAAAGGTGAACTGCAGTTACTTATAGAAACATTAGGGGACAAAACCCCATGCCAAGCTCAGGTTGATTTACTGATCTCAAGTATACAAGAGCCCAAAATATTGGGAAATAACCTATTGCAACAACAGATTAGGTAATCCACAGCAAACAATATTGGTGTATGTCACCAAGAGTTTAAAAATGCAATTTCATCAAAATCCATTAGCAAGAGAGAGATTGTAACTTTCAGAAGTTCTACTTTATTTTCCATGAGCAGCAGTTGAAGTGACTTCATTACAGGTGATAAATCTGTAACTAAGTTTTGCAACAGCACTGCAGTGCACACAGCACACGATTTTATAAGTATTTGAACCTAACTGCTAACTGCTTCCCACACAAGTAAACTACAAGGCAGTTTTAGGAAATCTCTATCATCCATACCAGATGAAGACTGTTGGTTCTGTCTTCTGTACTGACGCCTCTGTTGAACAGAGTCTGCTGCAGCCATTTTGCCTCCTTTATCTTCTTCTGAAAAGAAACATGCATGGACAGAATATTTAAACCAAACACACAAATTTGCCTTGTTCAGGCAGAAGCAACGTCATGCTACAGTAGACCATCAAGCATGCTCCTTCCCCCTCCCCTAGTCTTAAGATAACATCGAGGCTGTAAGACACTTTGGCTGAGCATTTTTCCCCCCAAGAAAGCCTGGATATAAATGTTTGACTGATCACCTTTATAAGTCTCAAAACTCCCTGCTTTCGATGCCAGTCCACCAAGAGGGTTCAGCACTTTAACACTGCCTTTAATTGTCAAGCATCTTTGATTAAAAGCCACACACAAAACCAGCATTGAAAAGCAAGAGCCATACCTGATTCTGACAGTTCTGCTTTCCTTGGTTTTGGTGCTGGCGAAGGAGACTCTCGTTTTTCAGTACTCTTATGTTTGGGTGCTAAAAGACAAAGTGAAATAAACTCAGTTGCAACTCTTGACATTCTTGCATGCTTTTCTGCCAGACAAACTGTACACACCATCATTGAGAAAACAAAAAGCACAAAATGACAGAGCTGCTGGGATGCAAGTTTTATTTCATCACCTGATGCTCTGCTGGGTGAAACGGAGCCACGGCTTTTCCTCGCACGATTTGACTGCTGGGGCGTTGGAGACCTGCGTGGTTTTGGAGGTGGACTTGCTGGTGGGGATGGTCTATGCCTCCGCCGAGGAGGGCTTGCAGAAGGAGAGAGCCTACGTGTTTTTCGAGGAGGACTGGACACAGTCCTTTTAGGTGGTTTCTTTGGCGGTGACCGGGAACGTGAAGAGGAGGAGGAAGAGCTACTGCCAGATAAGGACGCTGATGACCGTCGTCTCCTGTAAACCAAAGATAACATTAGATTCTGACTAGCCAGCTTAAGAAATGTTGGAGCATGAGCACAGAACTGCATTTGTTTGCAAGCACATATATAGAGCCACATACAACAGCACTTCTGAAACACGATGGACAGCCTTCAGCACTTGGTTTGTAGAAGAAAAAAATAACAACCAATCTTTCACAGTTAATTGTTAGTGTTCCCTTTGTTTGCTTTCTGTCAATCTACAGACTACAACTAAGCTTTTGTCCTGGGGGCAATTAGTTTTGTTTGGGCTCTCTAACTTTTGAACGGTTAAGAGAATTCTCCATGTTAGCACATGTGATTGAATGATCCTCACAACAGATCTGTTTAAGAGTTTAGTGTGCAAGTACACTAAGAAGTTTTTTACCCAGAGGTAAAAATTTGAGACAATTTAACAACTCAGAACCCATCTCTCCAGTCAGGTGGTTCAGTCTTTCATCTTTACTTTGTAATTTTAAAAAGGTAGGGCCTCTAGAATTCTGCGGCAAAATTTGTGGCAAGTTCTGTTGCAATTGTGTACCTGCAGAATCCACCTTTGGCTGCAGAATTCCTGAGAACCTGGAAAAAAGAAACCCTACCTTGAGTGAGATAAACATTTGCTGAAAGGGAGCTCTTGTACATCTTGCAACATACATGTTTGATGCTTTCCACAGTTTTCCCATTTGTGTGAAATTAACATATTTACAAACTCAAGGGAAAAAAATATAAACCAGTCATCGCCTTGTCAGAAAAAGGAAGAACTGTTCCTTCCCGAAAAAAGAACAACTGCTGTACACAGGAAGCATCACTTCAACTCTCTTCCTATCAAGAGGGTAAGAATCTATTCTCTTCCTATGAAGACAGACGTCTCTTTTGACACTGCCAGAAGTACAGAGTTTTCTCTGCAAGGCAACTCAGATCTTTGCTACTAGAACAATTGCTTGTGCTGTTACAAATGTAGCCTCCAGCACCAGAGAGCAGACCTGGAGAATTTTTTTAAGAACAAGAAGAAACACATTTCAAGTCAGAATTAAATTTTGATTGTAATTTTATGTGATAAAACTGGAAGTCATCATTAAAAAACTCCCAACAAGGCAAATCCAATTACTTATTCTCATTTCTTCACCAGGCAAAGGGAAAAAAGAAAAGTATTCAGACTTAAGCAAAAGTGTCATAAAAGATGTCATGTCGATCTCACTGGAGCTATCCAGAGCCATTTGACCCTTTTCAAAAAGGTGGAACTCCTACCACTATTTCAACTCAAAAGGAACAGTTTCACAGA